TTTTGGCCATTCCCCAGAAAGCCTCTGCCCAACCCCACCCCCGCTCCCTTGCCGACTGCAACAGATGTGAGGGCACCAGGGGAGCCTGCCAAGGGGAAAGGCAGGGTCACAGGGCCATCCGTCAGCCACAGAAGGACTGCTCATTCAGCATAAGGGTTAAGGTTGGGGTTAGCAGGGCATGTGAAATAGTGCACTTAAAAATCATATTACTAAGCGGGTGACTGTCAGGCACTATATGCACGGTCTCAAGTCTCATGGACCCCCAAGAGGGGGCTGCTTCTGAGTCCATTTCACGGCGGCGGAAACTGAGGCTTGGAGGCTGACTGGTCTGAGGTGACTCAGCTAGAAAGGGCAAAGCTGGGATTCAACCCTGGGTTTACCTGACTGAAGCCTAGGCTCTTTCCACCTCTCCCCACAGGGCTCGGGCAGGCATTCCGACAGATGTGGAGGTGAGGGTAGGGGTGGGGTGTTAGAGCTGCTCCCCAGTTCTACCCTTGCAGGCACTACTGTGACTGTAAGAGGGGGCGTGTACCCCCTTGCAAAGGCGAACGGGGCCAGTCTTGTCTGAAACTGTCCAGCTAATTCCCCTCATCGGTTGGTGCAGAGCTCAGCTGGCAGTAGATTCAGGAGGACAAGGCTACCTCAAGCTGCAGCAGGGATCCTTGCCACGTATCCAGCCACCTGGCTGGTGCGGCACGGAGACGATCAATACCGCTCCTTGGAGGGCGGTCCCGATAGGCACTGTGACCTTCTGGGGCTGCTTGTTCCCCATGTTCCCTCTTGTCACCAGTCCTCTCAGAGTGGCAGAAAGAACACTGGCCTAAGCATTTGATACAGACTACTCTCAAGTAGTCCCCTATGGATACCGCACAGGGCTTCGGGGAGTCAAAGCGCAGTATGTGCACGGGAGTTCACCAGCTCTCCTCTCTGTGCCCCTCCTCCCAGCACAGGAGCCTGGATGAGGGCACTGCTGGGCAGGCTAGGGGAGTGAGAAGCCATACATTCATGCCTCCCCTCTTGATTTTTACCTCCGGGCCAGCAGTCCTCCCTTCCCTCTCACTCCAGGTGAACAGAAGCTGAAAGTCAGAGAGAAAGCTGGGAAGAAACTGGTGGCTAGTCCCTTGACATGTTTTCAGAGGAAACATTCCAGGAAACAACCTGAAGGAGACACTTCCGTGGGGTTCCCCTCCTCTCTCTGACTTTCCTAAGTTCTGCCCGTTTGAAAGGCCCCATGGCATCCTTCCTCCAGCTATCCTACATTCTCCAGGCCTGCAGAAGCCCTCAGGGCAGATCCCACCTTCGGAGGGTTCACCCCTAGGTGGCCCCGCAGCCATCCTCCAAACGCGGACTGGTGGTGAGGCTGGTGTCCTGACCGAGCCCCCAGGCAGGCGGCTCAGACTCAGGCAGCGAGGACTCAGCTGGCCTCCCAGGGCGCGAGGGACCTGGGCGCCTTCCTGCAAGGCGGCCCTTCTGGCTCCGCGGGTTTGGCCACACATAGCCTGGAGGCTGTGGGGCTAGTGCTGGGTTCCTAGCCTCCGGCCTCCAGGTCCTTGTCCCAGCTCGCCTGCCCCTGTCCTTCCTGCAGCGAGCAGTCCCTCGCAACACAGTCACAAGGCCCTTGGGCGCCCATGTGGCCCAAAGCCTCCTCCTCTCGCTACCTGGCCCGTGGCGAGCTCCCACCGGGGCTCCTAGAAAAAGACGGGCACGGGGGCGCTCTGGCTGCAGCACTCCTACTGCCCAGGCTGTCAGCCCCGGGGCCAGGGCTGGGGGGACGGGGGGTCCCACAGGCCACAGCAGCAAGCATGGCTTGGCTAGCCACCCAGGGCTGTCTCTCTCAGCCCACCAGGGACACTGGATCCCATATCTGATAAATCCTCTGGGTACCTCAGTTTCCTCAGGTGTTGAGAGAAAACAAAAACAGCCATAGGAACTCTTTTGGGAATAAATCAGATTATGGATGTTGTGGTCCCAAAGGAGTAGTTACTCTGTAAGCTCCCTCCCCACTTTCCCCTTTCCTTCCCTTTCAGATACCAGAATTTGCATCCAGAGCAAAAAGTCAGTGGGCTCAGCCACAGCAGTGAGAGCAGTGAAGGCGCGTCCACATTCCTGGAGGCCACGAGAACAGGGACTGTCCCTGTGCTGAGAGAGCGTGACATCACTGCTCCTATGAGGGGGAGTGATGGCACAGAAATCATCCTAACAGCGTCGTACACACAGGCCTCTGCCAGCTCCAAGCAAGCTCATTTGAGAAAACAGCCTTCTTGGTAATGCTGGCCACAAAGCTACAGCCTAATTTATCCTGTTTTCCTCCACTGTGCTCTGACACTGCCTCCTCTTCCCCCTCCAGCTTAAACGCTAACCGACAGCTCAGCCCAACATGGGGCTCTATTCACAGGCTGGGGAAGGCTTTTATAAATGGAGGCACATCAGCTCTAGACCAGCTGGAAAAGGCACCATTAGTCACTCTAGTAAATAAGCACTGAAGTCATTTCCCTATTGACACCCAGGCGCAGGAATCACATCGAAGAATGGATTCCAGCAGCACCAGTCTGACAAAGGCCTCACATGCGTGTTCCTTCCAAACAGAAAATGGGGGGGGGAAGAGGGCAGTTGTAGACCAGGTCCCTCTGAGGACAGCGTGCGGGTGGAATCATGGGTAAGTAAAGTTTTAAGTAAACAGAATGCATCACTATGGAAACATTCAGCTTTATCAAAGCCACCATTAAAAAAAAATAATCAAGACTTAAGATTCAACACTACAAGTGTTTATGACCAGAAAAGGCAAAGTGGGTCTTAGATATTCTACAGCCAAGTAATAGCTGCCAGAACTCAAAGAAGAAATATTCCCAGCAGGGCAGGAACCTGTCATGTGTCAGGACTTTCTCTGAAACCCTCCAACTGGAGCATTCAGTGCACTGCAGGGCCTACTTAACTCTTCCAGCGTTGCAATGACACAATTCAGGAGACGGCTCTATGGTTACTGTGTCCAGACAGGCCTGCCATGTACTACGGCTGCATCACATCAGTCACAGAGGCACAGAGTGGGTGCCACAAGGAAAGGGCAGGTTTATTAGCTGTGACTCAAACTTATCAGGAATTGTCAATGCCACCCAAGCTAGTGGGTTAACAATGGATCAATGTGGATCCTGATTTCAACACTGGGGATGCAATCTGGTGCTAAGTGTGAGTGTTCCAACCCATGTTTGGAGGCAAGTTGCCTGTCATAAAGAAGACATTTTTAGTGTGGAGCCTGATGTTTCTTTGGGCTGCTGACTGGAGTAATGGTGTTGGTAAAGTATTGTGTAAAAGCCTGATATGAGTTTGGTGTCATTCAGGGTCCCCAAGTATACTCACAGATAAGAATGAGGTGAGAAAGGGTCACAAGGGAAGACTCATCTGTCTCTAAAACTTTTGTATCTCTGAAGGTGGATATGGTCAGAAAACACTTGCCAGAAAGTCAAGGAAAGCTGGCTGAGAATTTGTCTAACACCAGAAGTTGGATTCTGCCCCCCAAAAGCAGCTTCCCCAATGAAATGGGCAACTGCTAGTCCAGTCACCGGCAGTTTCTGGCTAGAAGATGCTGATGCTGATTAAGGGAAGATGAGATGCAGACGCCTGCCCTGATGCACAAGAAAGCCAGGGAACAAACAGGTGGCTTGTGATCAGCTGTGACTAGCTCAGCAGGAGCCAGCCCTGATGTTCAGGCTCCCAGGAGTGCTCAGCAGACCATTCTGCCTACATTCAGCATGGCAAAGGAAAACCAAACAGGCCGAGAGACTAGCCTGCAGTCTGAAATCCGGTTCTGCCACTACAAGCCCTGTTAACTTACCTAACGTCTTGGAGACTCAGTTTCCTAGGCTCTACAATGGGAACAGAATCTCTCTCTTGCACCGCTGTGGGAAAGATTAGGGATTATGTATAAAAGCTCCTAGGACAGTGCCTGCTGAAGCTCAGAAAAAGGGCAGCAAAAAACAAAACAAAACCGAAACTTAATTCATGCCACTGCTGTTATATTTGCTTCCTCAGCTTTACATGTAATGTAAGCAAAAACAGCTTCACCTCTAATTCCTAGTTCAGATCTAGCACCAGCAAAACACAGCAACAGGCTGCTGTGGTCACTGAGCACACTGCCCTTTGCCATGGTCTGGAATTCCTGTCTATGCCTACACCCTGTAGTTTTACTCTATGGCAAGTACCTGCTTGACATTTCAGAAGGGACATTATCTTAAGGGTAAAGAAAAGGGCAGTTCTGGCATGTGGTATCTGGAGTGACAGCGAGAAAAACAAAACCGAAGGTTTGCTGCTCTCAGACCAAGAAACCCAGGTAGTGGCCAACCCCATCTGCTGTATAGTAGAAATGTTTCCCTGAAAGATATGGGTGTGACAAGTGAAGAGATCAAATGCACAGCTGCCGCAAGGGGAGATCATGACCCTCCATTAGGAAAGAGGGACGCTGGAAGACTTGGAACCATCTGCCAGTTCTATCATTAGTAAGGAAGGGAAGATAAATGTCCTAGTGTCATGCATCAAACTTCTCACCAAGCTGGCTGTATCACCTGGCCAGGTATTGTTTGCATTAATAGGAGAACAGCTAAGAATTAAAAAGAGGCTTTATTTTACTCTTACGGTGATTTGAACTTCCCTCACATGAAAGCTTGGTATGGCGCTCACATTTTATAAAGCATTCCATATTTGTTAGAGAAACAAGCTAGGCTCATTTTGTTGTTTTTTGTTTGTTTTGTTTGTTTCTTAAAAGGGCAGGGGGACTACAATGCCAGGAGCCAGAGAGCTTGTCAGAGAACAGCCTGGCCAGGCATGGTGCTCCATCTGAGTGCCGAGTCAGAGCGTGCCCAGCCTTTGGCATTTTCCTATGATCGTGGGGAGCATCAATCTTACAGCCTGGAATGGAAACAGGATAAAAAGCAAGAAGGCACTGTACCTTGCCCCCACTGGCAGACAGAGAAACTGTTAACTCTCCCGCCCTATTTTCGTCCATTTAAATTCATTTCCTTTCTCTCAGGTTTTCTGTATCTTGGTTTGGAATTAATCTGGTACACAGCTCCTGAGTCAAGAGGTCAAGATGACACGTGGTTTTATGATGCAATAATGGGCAGTCACTCTGTTTTGTTTTGGGAACCTCAGTGACATCACAGACTAACCTTTGTACCTTGGGACCTTGTATGTAAGAAAACATTGAGTCAGAAGAGAGCGTTAGTCATAGGGCTACGGAAACACAAGGTGAAGAGAACTATCAGGCAATTGAGTGTATTCCCTGCAGGGCTGCTCCCACTTCTATCTGACTTGGGTCTAGATGACTCAAGTGATTCCCTAGGGGAAAATAATCTATGTGGAACAGCTGTCATGAGTAGGGTTTCTGCTGTTCTTCAGCCTCGATTTCAGCCTGCTATTTCCTGTGACATCACTCAGTGATTCCTCCCTTTAAGGGGACAGTTTTCTCTTGTATTACAGGTGACTGCTTGAAAGTGGCTAGACGAGAGCATACTGCCACCACTCTTTCTTTGGAGGCCTGTAACTGTCTGAGTGTGTCGCAGGAAGACTCGGTTACAGTGTTCCCTGGATATGTAGCTTTCCATTACAACAGTATGCAAGCCAAGATGAAACCACCTCTGTTTGGGTTTCAGCAGCTGTCTGCCTACGGAAGGCTCCAGAGTCCCTGACGCATATTTATATCTCCACTTCACTGAAGTCACAAGGAACAAACACGTGGAAATTTTCCCCAGAAGCACAAGTCCATTCATATTTCTTCAAATGAAGGTGGGGTGCGGGGGGAGGGGGAGGGTAGGAGGAAAACTGCTTACGAACAAAATCATCCATGAGCGCTGCCACATAGATTTTAATTTGCCTAAAGATGATAGCGATTTTGAGCTGTGATTCGGGATAACTGTTCCCACAGTAGACCTATTACCAACATGAGTTGCTGGCTCTCATTTAATAGGACTCCAAGCTGGGAAACAAACCCCACCATCTTCCCAACAGCCACATCATGAGATCTAGCAGCACCAGCCTCTTGAAGTCGCTTCTCAGTGGAAGGTTTGCTCCGTTTCAGTGAAGCTTCTCTCTCAAAGCTCTGATGTCACCAGGGCGCCCTTCGAGGGTCTGGATAGACTGTCCGAAAGGTTAGGTTCACTCTTGGTTCTCTAGAGTGGTATTCTTTGGGCACTCGATGCTAAATGGAAATACACATAACTCTGACATAAATACACACACACACACACATACTTTTAGTTCAAAGCGACTTAAAACTTATTCATGAGAATACAGAAGTATTTCCATCTAACCCCCTTAAATGAGCAGTAAGCTCTTTGAAGTCTTGTGGAGAAAGCTTCCTTCTTTGAAACAAATTTCCATCTCCAGCCCCACTGTGCTATGCCAGCACCTCTGAAGTGAGATATTTTCATCTTTTCTAATTGTTGCTGTTCCTCTCAGACATCTGCCATTTCCCAAATCTCATAAACATATAAATGGATGAGACCAAAGACAGGCATGAGATTCCATTCTCATGGTAAGTGTTTTGACATTAACATGTGCACCTTAGAAATGATCTGGCCTAAAAATGGCATGGCCTAGCTGCGGAACTGTGTACTCTAATAAGATAGTCACTAGCTACCCTGAAGCTATTTAAATTAAAATTAATTAAAATTAAATTAAAAACTCAGTTCTTTATAGCATGCAAGCCACATTTTAAGAAGTCAGTCATATGTGACTAGTGGCTACTACATTAGGCAGCACAGATACTGAACACTTTCATCATCACGGAAAGTTCTACTGGACACACTAGTGTCCATCTGGATTGTCAGTAGTATCAAAACTCCTTGGAAAGAACGTCAGCTCATTCCCTCTGGCTCATTATAAAAGCAGCTTGCTTTTCACCATGTCTACTTAGAAATAGTCCTCAGAGTTGGGAAACTGCCTCCACATGAGAGTAGATTCATATTACTTGCACATCCTCACCTGCCAGTCAGCTTGTGTCGCTCCTTCCATGATTAACAAGGTCCCGTGATCCAAGGGTATCTTCACTCTTTCCACATATGTGTAGTCTCCATTCTCTTCCTAGAAAACAGCATTTGTTGCGCTAAATTTTTTGCCTGTGTAACTAAGATGCAACAGAACCTGACAGAGGTCAAAAAAAATGGAAACCTCTGCTCAGCCAGACTGTGGGAATCTATATATAGCTCTCTCACTTGCAGCTGCTTGACTGTGGGCAAGTTACCTCACCTCTCTGTACCCTGACTTACTCATTTGTAAAATGGGGAGGATGACAGTAACTGCCACCTAGGACTATGGTGAGCCTCCATTGATAGAATATGTGTAAATCACTGGAGATTGGCATGCAGTAAGTGCTAGCTATTAGTGTCATCACCATAACCCAAAATGCAGAAAAGCCCATTCTGGCCTATGAAGGAAATAAAAGTCACGTGTATAAGAATTCTTTACATCTGACTGATGCTGTGCTCTACATTTTGACATACTCAGTGTGGGGAAAACGTCCTTTTAACCAAGACTTGATGCGATGACTTCCTTCACCTTCTTACCATGGATGCTAATTTACTAATTGGCACCTACAGTCTCTATTCTTCTCATGGTTACTTTGGAGTTTTGGAGATATACTCCTGCCTCTTTTCAGAATAGCCAACAGTAGGATTTTCTCAAAGGGAGCTCTGGCTTGACCTAAATAGTGCTGTCAAACTGAGATTGGCTGTTTACATCTTTGGGGATGGATCACGACTCCTGCACATTTAGGATACAAATGCCTTGTATTTACAGAGAGAGCTCAAAAGCAATTTATGTCCAATATTCTCAGGAGTCTTCACAGCATAGGCTGCGAAGCAATCAACTGGTAGTGTGACTCCTCCACAGCTGAAAACCAGGCACATTAAACAACTTCTGTGCTCGCAGCAACAAAGAGCATGTCAAGTGCTGAGACTGGGACAGATCCGAGCTTCCAGATTTCTTCACCTCCATTCTGGGCAGAACTGATGGGTCTATTCATTCATCTGCTTCTCTTCCGATACAAGGGGTTACATTTGGGTTACTGCAGGGGTGATTTCAGTGCAAACTGTGTTTATGTTTATTATTGTATGGGTGCTTCTGAGAACTTAACTGTTTACAAAGATTTTCCCTAGGAAAATCAAAATCAAAACAATCATGAACTTGCATAAACAGTCTAAGTTCCAGGCCCCAACTTTTGGCAGTAACTTTGTCAAACATAGTCATAATTTTTATAGACAGAAGATAGAAGCAATGTTTAAAATAACTTTGGTTTCAGTGACTGATTTTAATTGCATCTGCCACCTTTTCTCTTCCAGTAATAAGTGGGCACCGAGACATTTACCTTTGACCCCTCAGACAACCAGAGGGCAGTGGGAAAGTGACCCTGCCCTCACTGCAACCCAGCTCCATCTCAGAAAAGCAAAAGGCTGTTCTCTGATTTAAAAAAAAAAAAAAAAAAAAAGCCAGACAGAGGAGACACATGTCCTACTGGAGAAAAGATATCTGGAGGGAGTGCACTGTCCATGAGATTAGAGAGTCCAAGGCTCCTTAATTTAGGCTGTACAGTCAGCTACCAGATCAAGGTTCAACACAGCTAGAAGCAGAAGAATTTCTGCTACCCTCTACATAATCAGGGAGTGCAACATGGGCTTAATTTACAAATCAAGTGCAGACACTAAGAGAGGAGAATACAATAAAGTAGAAAGGAAAGACACTTAACCACAACATGAAGGCAATTCTGAGATGAAGATCTCTTAGAACATTAAAAACACTGTTGGGGGGAAGGGAGTGCTGGATCAGTGGAAGAGAATAGGTAAACACTATAGTTCCACCTGGAAACATGAAGCAGGAATGCACCTCACAAGTGAAAGAGAATTCCGAAATGCAAGAGAGAGATATCAGCACTGATGGAAAGTGATGTTCAACTATCACATTTCACATACTGTTCCTAAGATCTGAACTTTTCAAATGAGAGAAAGCCTCAGGTTGGTTTTGAAGACATTACATTCAACAAAACCATTAGCCATACCAAAAAGCAGACAAGGGTGAGCCTTCATCTGGGAGGGAGCCACTCATCAGTCCACAAAGGAGACACCAATACACAGTGCACCCTCTGTGAGAAATGATATCATTCTTCGCTGCTTGTTTTTATTCCTTCTAAGATCTTTGACTTAGAAGATGCATTCCTAATTTGCAGAAGGAGACAGACAGGAAAGAGGGCAAGGGATCCTACTAATGCAACACAGAGCTCACAAATGCATCCTTCTCTTGAGGCTAGAGTGGCAACAGACCATACAGCCACCCTTCGACTGAAGCAAGATGCATGGAGACTTTTTCCACTGAGGAGTCAGATAAAAGGCCAGAGGAGCCCACATGGCTGTGCATAAAGGCTGCAGTTGATAAATGGATAAGCAACAGTGGAAACACAGGTCAGACTGTTTAGAGGAGCGCCTTCCTAGTCATTAAGCATGGTTAAGTTACCCAAACACATCTCTGTAGCCCTTTTGATTTACTCAGGGTTTTCTTCAAAACAAAACAAAACATACCCCCCAAAACCAGGGCTAAGGATAAAATTTTCCATCCCTCATCCTGGTTAAAAGAAGCTTTTAGGGTCACACTCAAGCTACAGGGTAGGTTTTGTTATTGATGTTCTTGGTTTTCCAAATATTTGAAACCCTACAAGTACAAGGAAAAAGCGAAAAACACATATTTTTATATTAATGCTGATCAACATTCTCATTCCTCCAACTGCAGCCAGTTCATCTGAAGGCTTAATTATGCTTTTCTAAGGCTTCCCACAACTCTTACCTCCACCTCACAAAGATATTATCCTATTCAATTTCCTTTAAGAAAATGCTATTTGGGGTGAAAAAATCAGGGTGTATTTACTGTTATGTCATTATTAACCATCCAACAGACGGGAAACCTAAACATTTTTCTTTTCATTGGAAAGGTAATTCATACTGTATGAGATTTGGATTTTTCTTATAATCATCCCTTTCTTGTCCTAAAAGAATGCCTTAGAAGTTACGAACAATCATCAATGCTTTAAAATCATCATACAGGTTTTCTTTCTAGAATATAAAAAGTAACGTAAGTTTACTAAAGTAAATGATGCACTTGTAATTACTTATTCAACCTCTGCTCTTACAAACTCCATGAGGGGAAGTTTATGTGGTCTTCCTGTTAAACATTCTCAGTGCCTATCACACATATCAATAAATATGTACTGAATGACTGAGGAAGAGTACACAGAAAATGTAGAAAATCGCCTGCAATCCTATCATCCAGAGTTTATACAACATACACACAGAAGATTCCAGATATACAATCGTATACACTCCATTTTTAATATTTTATTGAGCATTTTTCTGTATCTTTAAATATACATTTCAAAAATATGGTTATAGAATATTCCTTTGTATGAACATATCCTTCCTTTAAACTCACAAATACCTTTCGACCACCTGTATACATCAGGCATTATGCTAGTGCTAACGATGGAGCAGTAAGGAGCACATGGTTGGAGATTGATTTTCATACACCAGTTTTTTTTTTTTTTTTTTTTTTTTAAAGAGGGAAAATAAACAAAAAGTTGCTGCAAGTAGATTTTTGGGCAAAACATTTCTGCATATATTTCTAGGATATATTCCTAAAAATGGAATTACTGGAGCCAAGTGTATGAACTTTAAGGCACTTGATTTATACTACCAAACTGCTTTCTTGAGAAAGCTGCAGCAAATCTGTAATCTCACCAGGGAAACATGACAGTATCTATCTTCTGGCTGAACATTATCAATTGACAATAATGAAAAACAATTAGGGGAGAAATGACAACTCATTCAAACTTAGAGATCTTGGATTACAAACCAAGTTGTTTTTTTTTTTTTTTTTGAGACAGAGTCTTACTCTGTCACCCAGGCTGGAGTGCGGTGGTGTGATCTCAGCTCACTGCAACCTCCACCTCCTGGGTTCAAGCGATTCTTGTGCCTCAGCCTCCCGAGTAGCTGGGATTACAGGTGCCTTTCACCATGCCTGGCTATTTTTTTTTTTGTATTTTTAGTAGAGACAGAGTTTCACCATGTTGGCCAGGCTGGCCTTGAACTCCTGGGCTCAAGTGATCCGCCCGCCTCGGCCTCCCAAAGTGCTGGGAATATAGGCTCGAGCCACTGCGCCCAGCCCAACTTCAACTTTTTTTTTTTTTTTTTTTTTTTACATTCTGTTTGCTGTTTGTGTTTCTTCTGCTGTGAACACTCTCTGTTCTTGTCCTTTGTCCATTGTTCTGTGGGGGTGTTAACATTGTTTTCTTATTGATCTCCAACCACAGATAGTTAGACATTTGTTTGTCATACTTTTTGCAAATGCTTTTCTCATTTGCTATTTGCCTGTTAACTGTACTTATGATATTTAACACAGAATAGCTCAAAATTTTACAGTCAACTCTACTGACCTTTCTTTGGCTCGTCTTCACGATTTTTATGCTTAGAAAGTCTTTTCCCATCCTGAGGAAAGTTAAATATACAACTGCACTTCCTTTCAGTTTTTTTTTTTTGAGAGTTTACATTTTTTAGATTTAACTCTTTAATCTACACAGAGTTTGTTTTTTGGTGGTGGTTGGGTTATTTTTTTTTTTTTTCATGCTTCTTTTTATAAGTTTCCAGGTACTTAAACCAAAGCATCCTGCTAGACTTTTCCACAAGATCAACCATGGCATGTGCTCAGGTGCCAGGCACATCAGGCACTCTATACCTGTTATTGCTAATGCTCACTACAACCTTGTAAGGGAGGCAAGGAAGGTGATGTTATCCATTTTATCATAAGTAAAGGGGGCTGGAGGGAAAATACTTCTCTAAGGCAAAAGGCTAGCAGGAGGGCAGGCTAGCATTTGAATGTAGATCGGCCTGGCTCTAAAGCCCTATTCTTTCCACTATACCCTGCTCTCCAAAGTAAGCTCTATTCCTTCTGAGATCCTAATATTTCCTGTCTTGATTATATGGAACCCCGACTATACTGTAGGGGTCACAAACAGCAGCAAGTAGCATAAGTGAGAGGTGTGGGCT